AGTGATCGGGCGCAGTGTACTTTTTAAAAAATTATTATTATTATTATTATTGTAATTATTTATTTATTTATTTATTTTCAGAAAAAGGTAGACACAGCAGTTGCTGCTGCCTACTGTAGGGAAATGTAAATGCACGCAAAGGAAAAAATATGTGCAAATATTGGTKGGGACTGTCCCTGTCCGGCCAAAGTTGGTGGGGACATGTCCACACCAGTCCTTCAGAAAGTTACGCCCTTGATTGTCACAATCTGTGACGATGCACAAAATCACAAGTCCAAATGTGAACGGTGTCACAGAGGGTAAACACAAAAACGTGTATTACCTGCTGCATTGTTCACTAAAATGGCACCACTGATGTATTAAAAATATACAGTAGGGTCTTCATGATATAGTAGATAGGGAATAAATTAAGCAAGTACTTTTACTTTAGTATTTTTAAAAGCAAGGACTTGCTTACTTTTACTAAAGTAAAAATGTTAAGGTGGTACTTTTACTTTTACTGGAGTACAGATTTGTCTGTTTATCTTTTACTTAAGTACAGAGTCCAGTGAGTTTGTTTTTTTTTTTTTCCTGTGGGAGATATTCTTCAAGTCTCAGCTTATTTCCACAGATTAAACCCATTCATGCCAGGTTAAGTTGTAATTTTTGAATGGCTGAGTGTGAGCACATTAGAAAAGCTAAGGATTGCTTTAAAGACTGGAGACTGAGAAAGTAAAAAGATCCAACTTTTTGTGCTTCACTGGAAATCCAGTTTGTACCACAGGGACCACTTCAGTACTTTTTCTGTTTGTGAGCACACATGTTTCAGCAGGTCTCAGTAGGTCCTGTTGTCTCAGGCAGTTTCCAAATCTTTCTAGCTTTTCGCCCTTCCAACTAATGTTTATTGAATGTGTGAAATTCAGTCTGCGCTACTTTCTCCTGTTTCTGAACAGCAGGGGATTCTGGGAAAAAGTTTTCTTCAAGGGCTCTTCTTACTCCCCTGATGAAAGCCTCGGCTGCAGTGTCCAATATATTTTTTATTTACAGTTTTATTTTGTTCTCCTCATCTGCTGCTCTTTCATGTCATCTAATGGTTCTCTATACAGTGGGTAAAATAAGTATTGAACACGTCACCATTTTTCTCAGTAAATTTATTACTAGAGGTGCTAATGACATGAAATTTTCACCAGTTGTTGATAACAACCCAAGTGATCCATACATACAAAGAAATCAAACCATAAATGTGCAGAAATGAAGTTAT